TCACCGTGCTAGCAACGTCTATGCTATCACAATCAAATAAAACCCGCGTAGCAGCAAACTTTCGCGATGGTATAGTGCGCGCCATTCAGTGATTACAATTGACAGGAACGCGCACCGTGGCCGGCAGCTGCGTGTATATATGCGTATACCAGTTCATGGTGATAACTGGACGGCACACACTATACCATCGCGAAGACTTGGCGCTGTTCGGGTTTCATTTGACGCAGATAGTACTTGTTTACGTGCAATTTAAATGCGTTTCGGCGTATAAGCTATTCTCTCGACCAGCTCGAAAGAGCTGCATGATTGTGCGCCCTTGATGTAACGTCGTTGTGGTAAACGATTTCGCGCATAAAATGCTCCACGCGAGGCCTAAATTGTAGCAAGGACTGCAGCAGTGACATAACTGTAGCAATGACAATTATTGGGGTTTTACGTTCCACGACCATGATGTCATTATGGGTAGAGGACTGCGGAAATTTCTACCCTCTTGGGGTTCTGTAATGTGTACCTAAATGCAGGCGCACCGGCGTTGGATGTAGGTATACGTTGAATAGGCCGTCAAAATGTGGCCTATGCGATTGGGATACGATCCCTCTATACTTAGTCGATCACTGTAACCACTTGACAACCGTGATGACCGTATAACAACCGTGACAACCGTGATAGCTGTATAAGCTATAGCAATTCAATTTTGAGATGTTTGAGAGATCTGCATTGCGCGTTGCTATATATGTATATGTTAAGTATGAATAACCCTCTAAGTCGATCACTGTTTTATAAGCACACAGAGTGCTCGGCCCATATCTTCGCGAGTTTACTGTAATGGCTACAACACACAAGTCAACTCGCACATGCGACGACGCCTTATACCTCTAAGCTGTATATGTGTAATCGGTACGATTCTGGGAATATACGCGCTGCCGGGACTATTGACGGCGCTACAAACAACCGGCGTGGCAGATTTATACGCCGCGCAAGAAGGGGACGCGACAGAGCTTTCGGTTATACGTTTCACACGCACGCAGCTCTGCGACAGCGGTCCGCGAGCCGAGGAAGCCATGTCACCGGAGAAGAGCCGCGAGTGACGACACACATGATTTCTCGGAGCGATTTGCACAGCTGGCGTCAGCAGCAGAGCGACTGGCGCGGTTTCCCCTTGCCGTCGCTATTACGCAAGCGGCTCTTTGCGGGTGCCTGGACGATTCATGAGCGGTCGAACTTCCGACATGCATATATACGCACCAACAGTTCCTACCCGTGCTGTGGCACGTTTTCATTCTTTTTGTACCCCTTTTCTGGGGGCCAGTATAACGGCGTAACATGGTCAGCGTGCTGCATGAAGCCGATCAGTTGCTAAGCGTTATTTTTCTGCTGACCGCGTTGCCAGACACCCATTAAGGATTGTGCAGCTGCAGGGATCTCACTCGCTCTAACGCTCGTTAATATCAGGATAGGTCGTGAGTCAATGAAAGCGAATGAGCATGGCGAGGCTTCTACGTATGTTGTTACCTTTCAATGTCTCGTAAAAGGGGTGCGGACGAAGTACTTCTATGAACGATCGGTTATTGATCGGTGTTTCCCGGTGTTTTCATTTCTGAACGAGTCCCAATAACATAAATGGGCACTAAACTGAAACATCGATTGACTTCACACTGATAAACCTTCGTTTGAAAACTGTACAATGGCTAATTTTCATGATAAAAAAAAAGAAGATAATTGTTTTATTGTAATTTTTTTTCGCTCAGTTGTCCGCACATGCATGAATGTTAGCGTGACGTCACCAATTTCAAAGTACCTTTCCCGCATACTTTGGCATCATTGGCTCAACAAATTGTCCCGAAACTCGATACGTACATTTTTCTTACCCCCTTATAGGACAACGTAGTTAACGTTTAGCGATTAAGTTACTACGTAGGCCCTGTAATAGACGCCGTCATAATCTATGACGTCATAGGGCGAGTTATTGCGGGAGCCTCAACGTGGCGTCGTCACCGCACTTTCTGCGCGTTCTCTCACGGCAAGAGTTGTACGTTTGGAGTTGTGATAGAATAATTGGCCGATACGAGAATAGAACAAAACAAGTGGTGCAGGGCGGCCTAGTGGCCCTCGCGTTTTTTTTCCCGTCGCCCGGTGTCTGTTAATTTGCGCTGTCAACTCCTTTATAAGTGTTTCTTAAGAGCTTCGGCGATATGAAAAGAGAACTTAAGCGTTCAGCTCGACGTGGTCGATGACTTTGAGAGGATCACCATTCCCGACTTATCTGGATAGCTTATTCGAAGAAATGTTCAGTTAGAGAGAGTGGACCGTATACATAAGATTAGATGTTCAACAATGTAGACACGCTAAACAAGTCCGATAAATTATAGGCGCTGTACGAAAGATCTTTGAGCACGCATAGCTTGATGCCTTGAGAAATATCGCGCGTTTCATAGACGAGAAACTGTATTGTTTCTGGTGACTAGGACCAGGTGTCACGAGTCACATGTAAAGTCAGTGTCAAATGTTCAGAGACCACGAGGCACAAGAAAAAAAACAATGTTTTCATGTGTGCTTTGCAGCCTTGAAGTTACAAAAGTATACGGCCGGTTTTGAAACACATGCACTGCGCAGTTCGACTGAATAAAGTCTCAAATTCCTGAAAAATTCAGTTTTCACGGACTCGGTGGTGTTTAAACTTTTGACGCCGACAGTACATTGAGCTATGGCGGTAGTGTTAAGCTGCAGGTTCTTGCATAGCATTCTTAACTTTCCAGACATATCATTTAGTCTTTTCTTGCGAAAGTGGCCAATTGAAATGCCATTTATGAGGGGCAGAAGCTCGTGTACGCGGAGGTGTAAGCGATCGCAGCAGTGCGTTCGAATAGCGAAGCACATAAACTTATGCTGGCACGTTTGGCCACTAGAAGGTGTTGGTTTGGCGCGCAACAGGTACGTCACTCGTCGGCCTTTTCGGGGCTATTTCGGTCGGTGCACTGACCTTTCTTTCGCCTGCATCATTAGAGCTCTTCAAAGCGAGCTTGCTGAGGTAAAATTATCCCGAAAATAGTGTTCGCTAGCTTGCAAAAGCTTCACTGCATTTGCGTAACTGAGTTCACAGCGCGCATCGTTAAGCAATTCCAAGTTTGCGACAGTGAAAGGAATGATGACCCTTCGCACGTTTTGCGGAATGAAAAAACATTGCATTATTGACATGAACCTACTTACAACCAACAGCTTTGTAGAGAGCAAACATTGTTTGGAGTTATGCTGACGCATGACCTATCGCGCACAAAACATGCGCGTAACCAGAGTCAGGGGACAAAAGTGAAAATAGAGAAAAATGCTTCGCATCGGCCAGTACGTGCACTTGTGAACGCTTGGCGAGTTTCGCCGTAGCTTGTTTCACCAAGGTTTTGTCTCCATCTATCCGTATCGGATTTTCATAGCTTACGTTTTAAAGTGAACTCGCGGTAGCAAGACAGACTATCAGCAATGGCGTAGTGTTTCGACGGCAGAGATATTGAAAAGCTTCAGTTCAGGTGTAAAAATAATGCGGCCGAAGGAACCTGGACACCTTTGTGGTGAGGATTGTTAAACTACGACTGTAGCTGAATGCGTGAAGTCGACGTGAGCAGAAATCCGGACGTAGAGGAGGGATGTTCTCAGAGCAATCACAACGGAAATGACAGCATTACTTTCACGGCAAAACACTAACAAAAGGTTGTGGCGAAGGGCGCTGCTCTTACTATACGGTGTTTTTTTCGTCACGTAAAGAAAAAAGCTGATTGCCATGCAGTTATCGTGATTGCCCCGATTTCATGTTGAGTTAGCTGTCGTAACACACCAACGAATTCTCTTCAGCAGCGTGGCAGAATACGCGTGTGAGAAGCATGAAAAACTCACAGGGCGCCTAAGACAACCTATTAACAAACAGGCGAAAATTGGGCATATACGTGAAGGATTGTTCGAGCCTCGCGTCTGACTCCTTTAAAACTCCTTACGCTGCTTAGAGGCATTCGGGCTCGCCAACTGCAGATCAACCAATTCATACATCACTAACAGCTGCGTGACCTTGTTATAGTTGATAAGTATACGACTCTGATTCTCCCGGAGGAACAGAATGCAGCTACAAAACTAATCTGTGTTGGTTCATCAGAGTGAATGCCTTTCCAGTTAAAAGAAAAAAAGTATATCTGCCTGGTGATCGAATCAAGGCTCGACCGTGTGGGCTAAGGCGGAGGCTAGCAGATGATATCACAACAGCGAATTAGTCGACAACTAGGGGCATCAGAATAATCAATAGCCTGCTACGTCATGTGGATGTACCATGAGGCGGCAACAGACTGTTATGTCAGATGGATGCCGATTTTCTCTTTCATGACCTGAATTCTTTGCCTCTGTCTGATGATGCAGTGTAACTTCTAATGCTCTCCTTATCTTCATGCCAGTGATCGTCACGTTTTCTTTTTTCAGGTGAGAAACACTGTACCTTTCGTTGAGGTGGAATAGTCGTTGAGCATCGCAGAGAACGTGCTTACAGTAAGTTTTGCTGAACGAGCTTTCAACGTCCATTATCACCACTACGACCGGGTTGAAATGCCGTCGGAGATGCGTCGTAATGGTTAAGCCCTCGGACGTCTATATTTAAAGAAGGAGGGCTCCACCTTGTCGTGCGATCCCAGAAGGTGGAACTTGCATACTGACGGCGCTAAAATCATGGCCTTCCCTTATGGTTCAAGAATACAAGAGCATGGTGACCACAGCATTGCTAAACTTTCCAGGTGTTACGGCCTTCTCATTAGGTGTAACATTCGCCAGACTACCGCCCACAGCTGGAGAGGTACATATCTCTCCGGCGGGAGGCTTGCTTTCGGGGGTACGACCGCCAAGCAATATGCTTTTGGCAGCAAACCGACCACATCCCAACTACTCCTTTATCCGGCCTATATATACAACCCGGAGGAAGATCTTTCCCAGTCCCCGCTGTAGTGGTTATTGCCATCAGTTGGCACCCTTACCTCCGCAGCACACCGTTCTTGCTTCGCGGGAAGCCAACTGTCAATCCTCTGAGAAGACCACTGGTCGTTGTCGGCGAGTCGTTGTCATCGTGGTACGGTCCGCGAGTCTCATCACAGCCGGGTCCTTTCCTCACAGAATGGGTAAACAACAATAAGAGTTGACGGAGTGACGTGCAGCGTCACCGAAGGCAACAGCACTGGCGCGGCGGGCCGCGCTTGAAGCTCGCCGATCAGCGGCGTCCCGCGCGCGGAGGCGAGGGTGACGCGGTCCGCAGCATCCGGCGGGCGCAACTTGGACCGATGCGCCTCTCTGGACAAGCAACCCGGCCTGCGTTGCGACTCGGGGAGGGTGTGCGCGCGGGATGGGTCGCCCCGGCAGCCCGCTGTAGCCCGCCGCGTGGCGCTTCGGGGCGAGACTTGATTTTGACGAGGAAGGCGAGGGCGACTTGTGCCCCTCTGCTGCCTTCCCGGTTGCAAGAGCACCGAGACACTTTCCCGTGTTTACTTTCTCTTCACTTTCTTGGACCCGATGTTGTTGCAGGGCATCGTCCCGCCGCACCTCCAAAACGAGCGTTCCTACCTCTGTAAAGGGAAGCAGCTAACGCCCGGTACGCTCTTGCGAGCTCCCTGTTCGAGTAGAACTTAATGCCACGTTTATTAACTGCGCTGGCTTTCCATGACGAGGTGTCCTTTTCATCTACGCTACTGATCCTAATACTACGGTAAGCATGCGAAATGGACGTCTTTAGGAGGACATGCTCTGAAAGTGCCCGACAGACAGAAAAGAAACATCTGAAAGACATGTTTCATGCTCAGCCTATCGGCAAGAATTTATCTTGTTAAGCTGTCTTGTGTAATATATAAAAGGAGAGAAATATAAAAGAAACGAAATTACTTGGCACGTCAGAGGTGCGATGCTCGCCCGTGCCTTTGATTTCACTTTTTGACATGGTTCGATGTTGATGGAACCTTTGTTCTGGGATAAACCATAGCACTTTGCTGTTTGCTCAGAGTTCTATAGTGATGAACCTCGAGGACAGCGTGAACAGAAGACACCAAATCGGCTTTTACCATCTAGCTCCACGTACAATGAAACCGATGTTGTCAAGGCAACGCAACAGGTGTCTTGCGATTGTTCGTTTCATCGAGCTGTGTTAATAAATAACTGCGTGGTATCTTCGGGGCGGGAAAACGGTGTCCACCAAAAGGTTTCTTTCAGAGTTGTTCAACAAACGAAGCGTTGCTTTTCGCGCAGGATTTGCGCAGGAGTTGCACTGTACATACATCCAACATATATAGAGCGGCTAAAGGAACAGCGAAAGCGCGATGGCACACGGTATACGTAATTATAACAAAGCAACGCCTTTTGTTTTCCACGCCATCATCTCATGGTAATGTTTTAAATATAAATTGCGTACATTTCTACTAGAATGCAATGGAACACAGGCGGGACTTCATTTCGACGAGTGCCGTACACGTTGTCGGGGTGTGATCCTTCCTTCATTCTTGTCCTCGACATGATTGTGCGCTGATGGGTGCACTGCAGCGTGGTCGTAACTCATCTCTATTTTCTTATATATTCTTTCTGAAGCTATGAAGGTGTTTTTTTTGTTTTTACTTTATAGAACATTTGGATAACGCCTATGACGGGATGTTCGTCCGTATTGTGCGAATAAACTTTTCTTCGGGCACATTAAACTCTTTCCTCCTCCTCCTCTTTCAAGGACTTTTCACTTTGAATATCATTAGGGGCAACGACGCGCTCTCGCTGTCAGCGGCTGCCTCCTCGCGTCTCCAAGTTGACATGGCATCGTCCCCGCAGATGATGACAACGCGTGCGAAAGGAAAGGGGGAGCGAGCTCCTCTTGGCACGCAGTTCTCGCGTCGCTTCGCCCCAGCCGTGGAGCGACACGACACACAGTCGTAAAGTCACTGGGGCGACGACGACGGCGCTTGTCTGCGGTGGCGGAGACAGTCGGGGAGAATCTCGCGCAAAGAGCGCGGTGTTTGTAAAAGCTGCGCACCGCACGTTGGTGCTTCTGCGCGGGCTCTTGTGGACCGGATGCGGCGAGAAGACCGACGGCAGTGCAGATCGGCCCTCTCGTATAGCGTACACACGCCCTCGCGCGACGCTCCCGCTGGGCAAACAACGACGCCGCCACGCACGCTGCAGGTGCTCTGGAAGGAATAGGAGTCGCCCTCGAGTCGGACTGTACGAAAGGGGCGTGCGGTTTCACGTGGACGCTTTGCCCGTTGCCGTACCCGCCCTTTCGCCCATTGGGGAGGGGAGGGTTTCACTCTTATACACTCAAAATGCCCATATATATTTATATACATGTTCGTTAGATCTTAATAATATTGTGTCTAAAAAGAAAAAAAAAACTAAGCCCTCAAGTAAACACTTCATTCATTAATGAGGGTCTCGATGTGGCGGACTTGGTGCCTTTAGGTTGTGTACGACGGATCATTGGTCGGCTTCCAGCTCGTAGTAAGTTAACGTGCTACGTGACACCAAACAAGCTGAAAATGAGTGCTCCACACTCGCCGCCATGGCTGCTGGTAGAGCTGACTGACACTCGGACGTTTAATTCACATATGTACCCAACAAAGTTGATGGAGGGTATAGCCACCGCGGTAGCTCAGTTGGTCGAGCATAGAACGCGTTATTCGAAAGCCACAAGTTCGATTCCTTCCCATGGCAAGTTATCTTTTCATGCAATTTTTTTTCACATTTACAATACAATTAGGTCTATATTGTCTAGCAAGAAAAAACAAGCCCTTAAGTATACAGTACCTTCCTTCACAGAATATATATATATATATATATATATATATATATATATATATATATATATATATATATATATATATATATATACGTCGCCATTGGGTGCGTTGGTATATTGGCTAATACTAACTGGGTGAAGCTCTGGTTATCGTATTGATGAGTGACCGAACGTTACCCGAACGTTGCCCGAACGTTGCCCCATATAATGTAAACTGAGCTACACAAAGTGTATGTAGACTTGTAAATTTCGCCTTCCAGTCGTCCTAAGGCAATCAAGGAGGATTCAGAAAATTACTGGAAATGAGGATATGCTTCAAAAGTGAACCCAAGAACCCGCCCTTTTACCGGTAGCAAAATATCATTTCAATATGGGCAATTTGTTGGAACAGATTGTGCTCGACGTGTGTCTTTGTGTCCCAGGTTTCGTTGGAAAGCCTCAACCTCTAGGCACATTTTAGTTCTGATCGACTCATCAATACTGTTTTCGTCCCGCCGCGATGGTCTAGTGGCTATAAGGTACTCGGCTGCTGACCCGCAGGTCGCGGGATTGAATCCCGGCTGCGGCGGCTGCATTTCCGATGGAGGCGGTAATGTTGTAGACCCGTGTTCTCAGATCTGGGTGCGCTTTAAGGAACTCCAGGTGGTCGCAATTTCAGGAGTCCTACACTACGGCGTCTCTCATAATCATATGGTGGTTTTGGGACGTTAAATCATACATATCAATCAATCAATCAATCAATCAATCAATCAATCAATCAATCAATCAATCAATCAATCAATCAATCAATCAATCAATCAATCAATCAATCCTTTTCAATAGGTTATTTCCGTCGGGAAAGCGATCTCTTACCTTATAATTAGCCTATGTCTACGTTGAAGTCTATAAGGTAAAACCTTTCATGTGCCTCACATGTGTTCCGACTGTAGCAACGGTTCTATACTGTGACCGCAACGGAAGACAAGGATAGGTCACAAGAAGTACACTAGGCATTTTCATGGCCTATACATGAAGGTTCAATACCTGCTCTATTCAGACTGAATACCGTTTTTTTTAAACTCAACACGTCAGCCCTTTTCTTCTAAGCATTGTGTCATTCTTCATTCAATGAAGTGTAACCTCATGCAAATTTGGAGCAGAAGGGCGCCGAATGTATCCAGCTGCGGGTGTGGCCCGCAGGCTTATATTATAATTTGCCTCACGTTTCATTACACGCCACGTAGTACACACAGGAAATAAGAAAGAGGCGATGGCAGAGCATTATTTGCAACCAAACAGCTCTTCCGGGGTGCGCCGCGGAAAGTTCCCGCTGTAAATGCTGTAAACGCTTCCTGGCTCAATACGGATTCGTCGTTCGTGTGCCCACACCTATACATTCGAACAAGCCGCATTAGAAGTAGGAAAAAAGGAGCGTCATGCACGCACACCTCAGGAGCCAAAGAGAAAAAAAAAAGCTGTGACCAAACCACAATTCCTGATGCAATTCGAGCTCGTGCACGCGTTTCGTGTATCCTGCAGCCACTCGGTATCGTCAGTCCCTGCATGACCACCCATCAAGCGAGTTGCAGCGAACACTCGCACGGGTTCAATGCCACCACCGGTGCTTTGCACGGTTGCTTCTTCCGCACACGCCTTGCGCAGTGCACTGCGTCGCACAAGTTGCGTGCAGCGTAACCAATGTTCAGGTGCGACCTCACTGAATGAGGAACTTCAACGGGAAGAAAAGCGCTTTCGTTTTTAACCACTCATTCAATTGTGAGCGTAGACGAGTTGACAGGAAATAATCTCCGGGTTTATTCAGCTAACGCAGAATAAATGGCACGCGAATGAGATGGATCAATTAAATTCACTTAAATCACGCTTGATTCAATTGATTCACATTAATGCACATTGATTCACTTTGAAGTAACTTTAATTTGTACTCCGAACCATTTGACATTGTCAAGTCCGTATTTGATAATGACCCATGTTTAGGAGTACAATATACGCTCGGTTCGATTCATATTCATGATGCTGCCGAAGCCCGCTTTGTCTTATAGACCTTCATCATATCGAACTGTATTGCGATTTGTCTTATTAAATTGAACTTCGAGGAAATGATTATTTTATTATTTCTTTAGAAAGTTAGGACTATGTCCCGGCACAACCCTTGCCTGTCATTGCATGTGTAGAACGCTATATTGAATATGACCAGTCAACAAAATATCAGAGCCATTTCTATAAATAAACAGGACGAAATTTATGCAAATCCATACAAGCTGCTGCAATGTCCTAGAATGCTTTCATAATTTTTAAGGGCTGCAGCTAAAACCACCAATCTCAATTTATCATGCTGTCTGAACGCTCATTGCTGCGGATCCGGCAGAGTCGAGTGCCCGAATTCTCTTTAAAAACTTTCAAAGTGCTGTCTTATGTATGCGCCAAGTGAACTCCTTGGTTAGTGCGTTTTTCCTCGGCTGTACTGCACGAAGCCGGGGAAGCGTAGCGCATGCAGATTCGCGACTCCTTTTGCGCGAGATGGTGCATAAATCTACATCGCACGCGCTCGCT